TTGAAAGAGAACTTCTGAACAGCCTCTGTTAAATAAATCCCCATAGCAGCTGACGGCGATGGGATTTGGAGTCTTAAAGCAATGGGATTTGGCATCTCACTATAATGGCCAGCTCCCATGATTGATTAGTTAGAGGTACGTTCAGCCTGTCAATCAAGATGAAGAAAAAGGCCTCTATCTATTTCAAATGTGTCGGTGGTATATTGTTTAACTTAGAGAAAGCTCCACTCAGCAATCATCACTAACATTTATTGCTAGAGTGCGGATAAATTTTATGCATCATGAGCAATACGAGAGCCAGTATGGTCTAGTGGTTATGGCACCAGACTAGTAAACAGGAGACTCTGAGTTCAAGTCCCACTTTAGCCATGAAAGCCAGTTGGATGATTTTGGGCCAGTCATTCCCAGCCCCAACTCACCTAGTTAATAAATTTTGGTCCAGGTGCCATTATTTAACCTTTTTAGATACTTTTGGCTTGGATGATTGAACCTTCATTCACACCTCACATAACTGTTGTTAGGAAAATAGGAGGAAGAAGGTGTGTTGGATATGTCAGCCCCCTTGAGTTATTTGCAAAAATAATGAAGGCGAGATACCAAGAAATGAAAGACTATAATGTCTTTAACACTGATAACTATTGAACTGCAAGTTCAGGCAACATACTTCTTGATGCAGCCAACAAACCTTATCTGGGTATGACATAAGTGAAATTAATGAATGCAGAAAGTACCTGAGCTTTCCTAATGCATATCAAATCTTTTCCAATCAATGAATATCACAAGGTTTGCATCACAAAAGAGAGGCCTGGCCCACAAATAACAGAGTGGTCAATGCCTGGAATGCACTACCAGACTGTAGTTTCTTCCCCAAACCCCCAAAACTTTAACCTTAAACTGTCTGCTGTTGACCTCACCCCATTCCTAAGAGGTCTGTAAGGGGCGTGCATAAGCGCATCAGCGTGCCTACTGTCCCTGTCCTAATATTCCTTTTTATTTACTCTTTTCATGTATTCAAATTATGTTTATACTTTTACCTGTTATCTTATATATGCTTGACAAATAAACTTATGATTATGATTATGAAAAAAATATATATAACCCAGATTGAGATACCAAATTGCTCATTGTTTGTGAATTGCAACCAAGGGTGAAATGCTCCCGGTTTGGACTGGATCGCCTGATCCAGTAGCGATGGCGGCTGGTGGTTCGGAGAACCGGTAGCAAAAATCCCTATGCCACCCCCCCCACACACACACACCATGCCCAGCTGAGCCGCACAATCATCTGAGGCTTTTTTTTTTACTTTAAAAAGCATTGTTTCTACAACCTCTTCCGACGAAAAAATGCTTTTAAAAGTAAAAAAAAAAGCCTCTGATGATCGTGCGGCTCAGCTGGGATCGTCAGAGGCTTTTCAAAGCATTTTTTTCTGCAACCTCTTGGCCGAAGAGATGGTAAAAAAAATGCTTTGAAAAGTCTCTGACGATCCCAGCTGAGTTGCCTGATTGGCAGAGGCTTTTCAAAGCATTAGAAAAAATGCTTTGAAAAGTAAAAAAAAAAAAAAAAAGTTGGCCATGCCCACCCAGTCACATTACCCCCAAACCACCAAGCCACACCCACAGAACCGGTAGTAACAAATTTTACATTTCACCCCTGGTTGCAATTGAAAATAGGGACTTGTGGACAGAAGGAACCCAAAATATCACAGGCCAAAAGACAAGGAATAAAAGTTGCATGAACAGAGGGATTCAACCAAGGTCATGTGAGGTACTAATACCACTCTCTAAAGCCTTAGTAAGACCTCACCTAGAGTACTGCATCCAGTTTTGATCACCACGCTACAAAAAAGATGTTGAGACTCTAGAACTATGATGTGATCTATGGCACATGTGCTGGAAGTGGCACACAGAGCCATCTCTCCGGGTATGCAAGCCATCGCCCGTTGCTCTTCCGGGTTCCGGCCCGCCAGCCAGCTGGTTTTCACATGCATGGGAGCACCGGAAACTGTAAGAGCAGCTGCCCAGTGTGCATGCATATCCCGGGAAGATGATCTTCCGGTTTCTGGCGTGTGCATGTGCACCAGCCAGCTGGTCTTCACGCGTGCATGCGTGCCAGAAACTGGAAGACCAAGTGGCCGGTGCACATGAGGGTGACGGAAACTGGAAGATCATCTTCTCTGTGTGCGCATGTGCACCGGGCAGCTGCTCTTGTGGTTTCTGGTGCATACATGCGCACCAGACAGCTGGGCTTTGCGCATGCATGCATGCCAGAAATCGGAAGACCAGAAACTGTAAGACCATCTGGAAGATCATCTCCCAGTGTTCGCCAGAACTGCTCTATAAAGAGGACAGAGAAGAGCAACAAAGATGATTAGGGGACTGGAGACTAAAACATATGAAGAACGTTTGCAGGAACTGGGCATGGCTAGTCTAGTGAAGAGAAGAGAAGAACCAGGGGAGACATGAAAGCAGTCTTCCAATATTTGACAGGATGTCACAGAGAGGGTCAAGTTATTTTCCAAAGCACCCGAAGGCCAGAGAAGGAACAAAGGATGGAAACTGAACAAGGAGAGAGTCAACCTAGAAATAAGGAGAAATTTTCTGACAACGAGAACAAACAACCAATGAAACAGATGTTGCCTTCAGAAGCTGTAGGAGCTTCATCACTGGAAGGTTTCAAGAAGAGACTGGACTGCCATTTATCTGAAATGGTATAGGGTCTCCTACTTGGGTGGGGGTTGGACTTGATGACCTCCAAGTTCTACTCTACTCTACTCTACTCTACTCTACTCTACTCTACTCTACTCTACTCTACTCTGTTCTGTTCTGTTCTGTTCTGTTCTGTTCTGTTCTGTTCTGTTCTGTTCTGTTCTTTCCATTTCCATTACTTCCATTATTTCCATTATTTCCATTATTTCCATTATTTCCATTTCTATTCTACTCATCTCATGTTATTTGAACAGTTCAGTCAGTCTACACATAGTCTTCAACTTATAATCATTCATTTATGAACCCTTCAAAGTTATGACCACGCTGGAAAAAGTGACTTACAACCGTTCCTCGCAGATATGACAAGTGCAGCATCCCCACAATTTCAATTTAATTGTAGACATGTTGTACATTGACAATAAAGGTTTGAATTCAATTGAATTGAATTGAATTGAATTGAATTGAATTGAACAAAATCCAGGCGCTGGCCAACTGACATGCCTGAACATGGTGGCAGCATCCCAAGGTGACATAATTTACCATTTGAAACCTTCCCAGCTTGCTTTCCACAAGCAAAGTTAACTTGACTGTGTGATTCACTTAAGTGGTGAATCAGTGGTGATTTGCTTAATGACTGCAAGCCAGGTCATAACATTGGGCACAATTCACTTCATGGCTGCATCCCTTAGCCATGGAAGTTCTCATCCAGATTAATGGTTGCAAGTTGAAGGCTACCTGTGCATGGTTAGAAATATCTTTTTTTTTTTTTAATTTGATTTATATGCCGCCCTTCTCCGAAGACTCAGGGCGGCTTACAATGTGCTCAGCAATAGCCTTCATCCTTTTGTATATTTTATACAAAGTCAGCTTATTGCCCCCACAACTGGGTCCTCAGTTAACCCCCATTTTGTGGGTTAATACCCTGTTTCCCCCAAAATAAGACATCCCCTGATAATAAGCCCAATCGGGCTTTTGAGCGCATGGCAATAAGGCCAAGCACTTATTTCAGGGTTCAAAAAAATATAAGACAGGGTCTTATTTTTGGGAAAACACGGTAACTACCACTTGCGAATGACTATATTTTCCATCATTTCAAAACAAACAAACAAACAAACAACTGCTGTTGTCACTGATATGACTGACTTATTGCATTTATTTATTTATATTTCCTATTTCCTAACTGACCATCTCTCCCTCTCTCTCTCTCTCTCTCATTGTTGTGGCCTGTTAGCTGCCGACCCCTCCAGCAGCTGAATCAGATGAGAAGGCGGCATGGGAGTCAGGGCCAGTATCAAGGCAACCTGAGAGCTCTGAGGGAGAAGAAGGAATGGAGCTGTCAGAGATAGAGACAGAGGTGGAGCCTGGGCCATCCATCAGCCCTCCGATGGAGAGTCAACAGCCCCCAGGTCTGGAGGTGGCTGATGAGGAAGAGGAGGAACAGCTGGGTCCGGTGCCTGACATGCGGATGTGCAGAAGGCAGAGGAGAGGAGAGCAGTGGAAATCTATGGGCCGGTCCTTGGGATGGAAGAGCCACCACTGCTAGCAAAGCCCCACCTCTGGGGATAAAAGGCAGGGGGAGGAGATGAATAGGTGTGACCGACAACTATTCCTCTCTCTGCCGGACAGACTTGTTAGCCTGCTGTGTGTGTGTCTGTGTGTGTGTGAGAGAGTGTGTGGCGCTCCTAATAAAGGGAACATTTATTTAACTACAGAGGGTTTGTCGTGTTTGGAACACAGAACACTTATTCATATGATTATACATGGCCCACACAGGTTCTAAGAAGATCTTGCAGGACTCTAGTAAGTAAGGTGGTATATTGAGGGAGCTGGCAAATCTACTAAGAACTGTAAATCATTCTAACCTTTATTTACCTTTCTATACCTCTTGCATGCTCCAAGCAACAATATTTTCTTTATCCCAGTTAAAATGGATTAAAAACAGGGGTGAAATTCAGCAGGTTCTGACAGATTCTGGAGAACCGGTAGCAGAAATTTTGAGTAGTTCAGAGAACCGGCAAATACCACCTCTGGCTGGCTCCAGAGTGGTGAGGGAATGGGGATTTTGCAGTATCCTTCCCCTAGAGTGGGGTGTGGATGGAGATTTTGCAGGATCCTTCCCCTGCCATGCCCACCAAGCTACGCCCACAGAACCGGTAGTAAAAAAAATTGAATTTCACCACAGATTAAAGATGTAAATTAGATTCCTATTTGCGGTATTCCACATATTTCAAAATATCCTGACCCAGAAAGAAATGAAACAGAGACATCATCAGGGCTCCAGAAAATGCTCACCAATTTTAGAAAATTATGAAAATAGAGAGGTTTTTTTTTAATTTTCAGACATATAAACACTTTTGGTACAGTACAGACGTTATTGTCAGAGCTCAAGGGGAAAAAAAGTGTCCATTTTTATGCATAACAACACCCTTATGCCTTGTTTCATACCGATAAAATTGATGCAGGCTCACGACACAATAAAAGGTTTTTTTTTCTTTTTCCTTCCTTCCCCCCAATTCTTTTTTTTAAAATCAATATTGAAGGTGTGCATTGCTGATAACCTCTTTGCTGCAGAGAGAGGGGGAAAGGTGAGTAAATGCCTGGGAAATATTGCATCAGTTTTAAGGTGTGTGTGTGTGTGATTTGGGGCATAATCCAGAATGCTAAATTAATGAAAAAGGATGGCAGCCAGAAATCAATAATTAGACGCTGATCTTTCACACAAATTCCAGAGAATTTTTTTAAAAAAGTTAATAAATAAGTCTCTGCAAAACAAAACAGAACAAAACAAAAACAAACCAAAAAACCTTCTTTCAAATTTTCTCGTATATATATTTTTGCATAACTTTTCCATGGATTTATATTAACCTCCACTATTTTCATGGAATGGGCATCCATCAATGCAACTGGACTTTCACCCTTTCCTCGTGATACAGCATTTAGGCTGCAACCCGACACATTCTTCCATCTCATGGAATGTAGTGTAACCACCAGCAGATATATGGAGGAACAAATTGACTGCATATTGGAATACCCAGGGGATAGAATCCCTACATACACTTATTATCCCCTTTTAAGGACCCCATAATCCCTTGCAGGGTAGAGTCTGGACAACTAAGCTGTGTTTACTGGCCGGATGCCCTTCTTGTCGCCAATGCAGAGTTTTTTTTTTTCCAGCAGATATATTCTCATTGCGCCCAGAGAAAGAAATATCTGTCTCTACCTAGAATCGAACTCATAGCCTCTTGATCGTGAGGCGAGAGCTCCACCTCTAGGCCACTGCACCACAATCCCTACATACACTTATGCCTCTTTCGAAAGCAACCCCGAGGCACAGAGAACTTTTCAGAGGGGTTGTCCATCAACGACACAGCCGTGGTGGCGCAGTGCTTAGAATGCAGTATTTCAGGCTTAATTTGGGTGAACTGCCGATTGCCAGCAGTTCGATTCTCACCAGGCTCAGGGTTGACTCAGCCTTCCGTCCTCCTGAGGTGGGTAAAATGAGGATCCAGATTGCTGGGGGCAATAGATTGACTCTGTAAACCGCTTAGAGAGGGCTGTAAAGCACTGTAAAACAGTATATAAATCTAAGTGCTATTCCTTCCTTCCTTCCTTCCTTTCCTTCTTTCCTTGCCGTGGTGGTGCAGTGGTTAGCATGCAGTACTGCAGGCCAACTCTGCCCACTGTCTGGAGTTCGATCCTGACTAGCTCAAGGCTGAGTCAGCCTTCCGAGGTGGGTAAAATGAGAACCCAGATTGTTGGGGGCAATATGCTGACTCTGTAAACCTCTTAGAGAGGGCTGCAAAGCACCGTGAAGCGGTATATAAGTCTCAGTGCTAATGCTGCTACATGCTAACAAAAGGACTTCAGCTAGGGTGGAGATCAGCTAACACAACCCCTTTCTCTGTCCCATGTGCCTATGGATAGAAGCATTTTTGTCAACTGTTTCCATGAAATATTGATCAAAACATTTTGGGATGATGGATCGGCCACCACAGTAATTTTACTAGTTGCCTGCAGTGACAAAAGAAGTGAGCATTTCACTTATTTATTTATTTATTAGTTCGATTTATATGCCGCCCTTTTCCGGAGACTCAGGGCGGCTTACAATGCATTAAGCAATAGCCTTCATAGTTTTGTATATACCTGCTTAGTAGGGCTTTTGCTCCCCCCCCTCAAGCGGTGTTCTTTTTTATACAAAATCAGTTTATTGCCCCCACAATCCGGCTCCTCATTTTACCTACCTCAGAAGGATGGAAGGCTGAGTCAACCTTGAGCCTGGTGAGATTCGAACTTGCAGTAATTGCAGGCAGCTGGCAGCTAAGTGCTACTTTAACAGCACTTAGTCCACTGCGCCACCAAGGCTCTTCTTCTCAACACAAGCTCATTTTCTGATGGTGGGCTTCCAAGAAATTCTATGGAAGTTTGACTGAACTAACAAAAACTCTTTCTCTGATTTACCCGTGCAGTTTTTTCCCCCCTTGACGATTTCACACGTGTACAATGGAATATGTATGCATTACGCTTCAAACTCATACTTTCTTTTCTCCCAGCAGAGGGTGGCCGAGGTGTGACAACAATACATCTTAAAATGTACCTTTTTTAATTTTTCTCTTCGACGGTTTTCGATTTGTAAGAATGGGTAATAATGCCCCCTTGTGGTCAAAAAAAATAAATGAAGGAAGTCATTGTCTTACCTTTGATTTTATGCGTACTGACTTATCGAGAAATGCAGGTGACAGATCTATACAGTCAGTTCACTAGCTTTTCGTTTGTTTTTTTAAAAAAAACATCTGTACAATGAATTTCTCTTTTTCTTTTCTTTCATTTTTTTTTCTTAAAAACCTATAAACAGCTGTTTACAAGTAAGTTATAAACCAGCAGTCTTAAATCACACCCCACTGTTGAAAACCCAATCCAGAGTTTAGGGAAGGAAAATAGATCACTGTTATTGTTGTTGTTGTTGTTGTTGTTGTTTTTTGGTGTGAGTCTATAGGGTCTGTGAAAAAGCATCAGATATTGGAAATTTCCACCGGTTTCTTCTCTAGCCGATGTAGGTCAATTCTCCCATTTAATGGGATTTGAACTTCCAAACCCTCGTCCCCTCTGTGGTATTTTTTCCCCTTCCTTAGGCAAATATAAATCCCCATACCTGTCACCAGGCTGATGGAACTCAAGCTTATTATGGAGAGGGTCACCAAAGTAGGCATGCAGGACACGGCCTCTGCTCTCCGGTGGGTGGGCTCTATGGAAATTTGGGGTTCTTTCTCCTCAATATTGATATCGGACTCTCTCCTCAGAAGGCTTTCGATGTAGCTCTCGTTGCTCACGGTGTCGTTGACGAAGAGGTTGACCATGACGGTGGAATGCAGAGGTTCCGGATAGCCGTGGTCGCTAACTTTCACCAGAAGGCGATACAGGCCGTAATCGTTTTGCATGAGCGACTCTTCCAAGGTGATGTTGCCTGTTTTGGGGTCGATCTTGAAGGACTCCGGCCGAGGACCTCTCCTCCCGATAATGCTGTAGGCAATAACGGCATTCATACCGGTGTCGTTATCTATGGCATAGACTTCAGTGATAGGAGAGCCGGGCAACGTGGAAGGAAGGACTAGAAGGTAAGACATGTTAGACTGGGGAAACAAAACCAAGGGGGGATTATCATTGATGTCTAGTAAGAGGATGGTGATCTTAGCCGTCGAGGACAAAGGCGGGTCACCCCCATCTACTGCTTCAACCCACAAGACATAGGAGCTCTGCTGTTCCCTGTCGAGAGAGACCTTGGCTCTCAACACACCTTTGCCAGTGTCAATCACAAAAATATCACTCCTGTTGACCACAGAAAGGGCTACCCATCCGTTTTGCCCAATGTCTGCATCGGTGACACTTATAACTCCAATTTCACCAAAGCCCGGGAAATTCTCCGGTACGAAGAAACTGAAATCCTTGTTGATAAATCTCGGGCTGTTGTCATTTTTATCCAACACAGAGAGGGTCACGGTGGCGATGGATTCTCGCGGGGGCAGGCCAGAATCCACAGCTCGGACGGTGTAGCGGTATTTCTCACGTTCCTCTCTATCCAGCTGGGTAGAAACGGTAAGGATCCCAGTAACTTTGTCTAAGGAAAAATAGGAAGGCGCCTCGGGCCCAAGGAAATAGGACACTTGGCCTCTTTCTCCACTGTCGGCATCCGTGGCATGCAGTTTGGCCAAAAATGCATGGGGGGCATTGTTTTCCTCTATTGATAATTCTACCAAGGCTTCAGAGAAAACGGGAGAGTTGTCATTATCATCCAGAACCTGCACTTTGATGATTTTATTCACATGAAACCCCTCGGTATTCCACGCAACCACCGAGACCTCGTACAACTGCTGAACCTCATAATCCAAGGCCTTGGTAGTCTCCAAAAGATACTCATTGCGATAGGGTTGATAAGGGGTCAATTGGAAAGGGCCATCCCCCTCCAAATAGCAATCGACTTTATATTTTTCATCGGGGTCCTTGATGGTAAAAAAAGCAATGGGGGTGTGGATGGGTTCCAACTCTCTCAAATAAACCACCCCTTCTGCTTCGTTAGCGATAAAGCGAGGAATGACTTCAGGAGGTCTCATGGTGACTTTGATGATGGATACCAACACGGTTATCACCGCCGGGATGCAACCGGGACCGTTGGCCAAGACACTCAGCCGATGCAGAAGAGGTGTGTCACCATTAATCCTCTTGAATAACTTAATCACTCCCGTACTTTCGTTAAGACGGAAGAGGGTGCGGGACAGGAAAGAAACTTTTTGGCTGTAGGAATAGCTTATCTCAGCATTGATTCCGTGATCGATATCCACAGCATGGACCGAAGCTATGTGCAACCCAATGCTAGAGTTTCCAAAGATGGTGACGCTGATTTGAGTCTCATTGAACTGGGGACAGTTGTCATTAATGTCACTGATGCCAATGGTGAGTGTGGCACTACCCACCAGTGGTGGAATGCCACCATCCTCTGCAATTATAAGAGTGACATATTGGTCGGTGGCCTCCCTGTCCAGGGTACCCATGACAATAAGATAAGGTGTTCTCTCTCCACTTTCATTCTCCTCCACGTCCAACGTAAAAACCCCGTAATTTTCTTGGAGTTGGTATGTCTGCACCCCATTGGTTCCCATGTCCGGGTCCACAGCCGGATGCTCTATAGCTAACCGGGTATTGACGGGTGAATTTTCAGGCACGGAGAGGTGTATCTGCGGCACAGGGAACCAGGGTGCGTTATCATTGATGTCATGGATGGCGATCTTCACTTTGACCAGACGGAAATACTCCTGGGGTAACACCAGAACATCTAGCAAGAGCAAGCATGACTCGGAGGATGGAAGCGGAGAAGAAGAAGAAGACGAAACCACGGTGGAGCCAACATTATCCTCCAAACAGAGTGTTTCTCGGTCAATTTCCTGGGCTGAGGTGCACAGGATACCTGTCTGATTGTCCAGGTTGATGTATTGGCTTCCCAGTCCTTGGGAGGCAAAGCTGAAGGAAAGAGGACTCTTCCCCCATTGCTCGGTCTCCTGCTTCCTCACCTTTCCTTCTCCCTCTGCCAGCTGTAAATCCTGAGCTAGATTCCCGATGAGGAACCCAGCGGGGAGTCCTTCATTGATGCTGTAGAAGAGTTCACTGGCCCGACTGTAGCTTGCAAAGCAGTTAAACGGTTCCAAGAAAAGCAGGAAAATGAACACGTTCTGGAGAAAAAGAAAGCACAAGGTGTTAGTAGAAAGAACTACTCGGTCACCTTTAAGAGATGTCCATCCCCCCACCACCCACCCCAAGAGAATCATGTCTGGCGTCAATCAAGCCAACCATCTTCTCAACTCTCCACTCCATCCTCTCAAAGCATCTTTCTGCAAATTCAGATTCAACCTGCCACCGATCCTTCGTTTCCAGATCGCCAACCGACCACGGCAGGAAGAAGGACTCTTAGCCAATAACAAACATTTATTTCCGTTATCTGCTCGGGGTGCCTTCAGCCTTACTCACAAAGTGATGGATGCCATCAGGTTTACTATCCATTTTTTAACTCCCTCACCCCTTGATTAAGAGGAAATCATTGGACAGAGGAGAGAAAGGATAATAGATTCCTACAAAACGTGTCTATTCATGATCCCGTTTTACCAACGTTGCCACGTTGCCCGAGATGGAGCGTTCAGAGGAATAATCCTGGGGACTCAGGAAGGGGAGAATGCAGATGTCTTTAACTTCCAGTGTCAACCCTCCCCCTTTTCTTAAAACACATCAACCTGTTGGTCAAAGGATAAGCAGATTATCCCAGACACAGAGACCACGGGAATGACCGCCCTCTTAGATCCGCTAACACGTATTGTCACTATTTGCATGAAAGGCATCATTAAAACGACGACGACAACAACAACAACAACAACAACAACTTGAAAACAAACCCTGCAAGCAAAAATATATATGCAATCCTACAACAACCCCTTTCCCCTTTGAAGTGCATTTTTTTTCTTCTTCTTCTCTTAAGCAAACTACCTCCTTGCAAAACCAAGCAAAGCGAAAGCAAAATCTACCGTCCATGTATAACTTTGCTAACCGGGAGCCCTCTTTGGAGTTTGCAGGCAGACCTTGGCAACTTCGAAAAGGCACCTGGCAAACTCCTTTGCGGCAACTCTTTGCTTGGAAGGCAAAGGCTGCGAGGGCTTCTTTCCAGATCAGTTGGCAGAGGTTCAGGCTGCAGGTAAACTGGGACTTTTTTTCAAGGCTGCCCCTCCGCCTCCATTTCTCCCACCCCCCCACCCCCCATCACACCGGCATGGGATGGCCACCTTGAGCAAGGATATTATGTAGAAGAGTATCATGCGCAATTGTAATCCTGAGACTCCAATAGCAGGTTAATAGCAGCAGGAGACTCCTGTTGCTTCTTTCTTTCTTTCTTTCTTTCTTTCTTTCTTTCTTTCTTTCTTTCTTTCTTTCTTTCTTTCTTTCTTTTCTTTCTTTTCTTTCTTTCTTTTTTCTTTCTTTCTTTCTTCCTTCCTTTTTTCTTCCTTCCTTTTTTTCTTTCTTTCTTTCTCTTTTCTTTCTTTCTTTTTTCTTTCTTTCTTTCTTCCTTCCTTTTTTCTTTCTTTTCTTCCTTCCTTTCCTTCCTTCTTTCTTCTTTCTTTCTTTCTTTCCTTTCCTTTCTTTTTTCTCTTTCTTTTTTCTTTCTTCTTTCTCTATTTTTCTTCCTCCCTCTTTTCCTCCCTCCCTCCCTCTCCTTTCTCTCTCTTTTCCTTCCTTTCTTCCTTCCTTCCTTCCTTCCTTCCTTCCTCCTCCCTCCCTCCCTTCCTTCCTTCCTTCTTTCCTTCCTTCTTTCTTTCTTTCTCTCTTTTTTCTTTTTTCTTTCTCTTTCTTCTTTCTCTCTTTTTCTTCCTCCCTCTTTTCCTCCCTCCCTCCTCTCTCTCTCTTTTACTTCCTTCCTTCCTTCCTTCTCCTTCCTTCCTCTCTACCCCTCTCTCTTTTCTTTTTTTCCCTTCCTTCCTCTCTCTCTCTTCTTTCTCTCTCTTCCTTCCTTCCTGGCTCTCTCTCCTCTCTCTCTCTCTCTCTCTCTTTCCTTCCTTCCCTCCGTTCCCCCTCTATTTTCCCACCCTCCACCCCCCAGTTTTTAGGAGAGCTTCAGGACGCTCCTATTTCCCCCTCCGTCAAGTTGCGCCCCATCTCGGCTCGGCGACAGCCTTCAAAACCGCCGCGCGACCCCCGCAGCCTCCTTGAACCCGCTTTCTCCTCCTCCTCCTCTTCCTCCTTCTCTCTCTCTCTCTCTTCCTCCCCCATCCCCCCCTCCGAGCCCCCCGATTCCTCCCGGCGTACCGGCAGCGTCCTCTGACCGGGGGCTCTCCTCCTCCTGCTCCCAGGGCTGGATCGCTGCCCCATAGCCAGCCGCCGGCTCCGCTTGCCCTGCCGCCAGCTGGACTCGAGGGCTGGGGGCCAGCTGCGCCGCGTCTCATTCCCTCGGCGGCGCATCCCCAAATGCGGTCCTGGCTGGCGGGTTCTTCCCCCCCACTTCGCGGTGGGGGGGGGGAGGGGGGGAGGGGAGGGGTTTTTAAAAAAAAAGAGAGAAGGGGGGGGAGAAAGAGAGACCCCCTCCCCCCCAAAAAAAAAGACAGGATGGGGGAAAAAAAGGAAGGGATGGAGGGATGGAGGGAGGGAGGAGAGGGCTTCCTCCGAGGGGGGGGGAGAGGGAGATAAAGAATTGAGCCTCCTCCGCCTCTAATTATGCAAATGTCTCTTGGGGGGAGGGGGGTTCTCCAGCCAATTAGCCAAGGGCGGGCGCGGGGGGGGGGGAGGTGTCCCCCGGCGGGGGTCTCCCGGCTCCCTCTGGCTCCCTCTGCCCGGGCTCCGCTTCTGCCAACGCGGCGCTCGGATTGCGGCTGCTGGCGTCGGAGCCGCCGACCCTGGACTCGTCGAAGGGGCGCCTCGCCTCGCCGCGCCCCCCCCCTTTTCTTCTTCTTCTTCTTCTTCTTCTGGTTTCTTCTTTGGCTTCCCAGCCCCCGACGGAGATCGGGCCGGCCCGACGAGGAGGACCGAAGGGAGAGCCCCCCCCCCGCCTCCCCACCACCCCCGTCGGTTCCAGGAGAGGCTGAATGCCCCCTTCTGCGAGGCGGGGAAGGAGGGAAGGAGGAAGGAAGGAAGGAAAGGAAAGGAAAGGAAAGGAAAGGAAGGAAAGAGGAAAGGAAAAGAAAGAGGGAGGGAGGGAAGGAAAGAGGAAGGAAGGAAAGGAAAGGAAAGGAAAGAAAGAGGGAGGGAGGGAAGGAGAAAGGAAAGAAGGAAGGAAAGAAAAGGAAAGGAAAGATGGAGGGAGGGAGGAAGGAAGAAGGAAGGAAGGAAGGAGAGGAAAGGAAGGAAAGAGGGAGGGAAGGGAAGGAGGGAAGGAAAGAGGAAGGAAGGAAAGGAAAGGAAAGGAAAGGAAAGAAAGAGGGAGGGAGGGAAGGAGAAAGGAAAGAAGGAAGGAAAGAAAAGGAAAGGAAAGATGGAGGGAGGGAGGGAGGAAGGAAGGAAGGAGAGGAAAGGAAGGAAAGAGGGAGGGAAGGGAAGGAGGGAAGGAAAGAGGAAGGAAGGAAAGGAAAGGAAAGGAAGGAAAGAGGAAGGGAAGGGAAGGAGGGAGGGAAGGAGGGAGGGAAGGAGGAAGGAAGGAAAGGAAAGGAAGGAAAGAGGGAGGGAAGGGAAGGAAGGAAGGAGGGAAGGAAAGAGGAGGGAAGGAAAGGAAGAGGGAGGGAAGGGGAGGAAGGAAGGAATGAATGAATGAAGGAAGGAAGGAAGGAAGAAGTCTGGTGGGGGGACTTCGCACTTTGCTTCGCTGTTACTTTCTTTAAAGATGCTGGCTTTGGCTAGCCGGAAGTGCTGGGATTTCCTGGTGGTCTCTTTTCCAAGGGTTGTGGTATTATTATTATTATTATTATTATTATTATTATTATTATTATTATTATTATTATTATTATTATTATTATTATCTCTTTTATTCATTAAATATGAAGGTCAACTGGACATTTAAAATATATCACAAATAGCATTGACTGGTTCTAACGGCTGATATGGGTTGCTGCCAGCATCCTAGGTATCAATCTATTATTATTATTATTGTTATTGCTGCTGCTGCTGATATCGTCATTGTTTTGTTGTTGTTGTTATTGTTGTTGTTATTATTCTCTGATGACACCTGTCCAGTATGGTTGAACTTCTGGCAAAACTCTCATCTTCCTCAGAGCACACAAGCCCCACAACCACGTCAAGGTAGTGCCTCACTGGGAGATCATCATCATCATCATCATCAATCATCGCACTGTCAGCCAGATGTTCAGACTGAGTTTGGCTTTTTGTCTGCCTATTGAGTCCTTATAAAAGACGAGGTCTAGGCAGATGTGGATGTTTGATGGTGTTACAGATATAGTCGCAGGATGGCAGCGGTTCCAAGTAAAGCTGCCTTCTGCAATTGACTGACGGCAAATTTGTCAATGCCGATGGTGTTCAAGTGATAATCCAGTTGTTTGGAGATTGCACCCAAGATGCCTATGACTCTTGGTCCTACCCTTGTTTGCCTTTGCCACAGTCGTTCTATTTCTATTTGTAGGTCTTTGTATTTTGTTATCTTCTCCAGTTCTTTCTCTTCTCTTCTCTTCTCTTCTCTTCTCTTCTCTTCTCTTCTCTTCTCTTCTCTTCTCTTCTCTTCTCTTCTGCTCTCTCCAGGCACTGCCACTTCCACTATCCAGACTTTTTTGTCTTTCTTATCAACAACTGTTAATCATAATAATTATTATTTTTATACAACAACAACAGCAACAACCTAGGATGCTGGCAGCAACCCGTATCAACCATCAGCACCCGTCAGTGATATCTGTGATACATTTTAAAATGTTCAGTTGACTGTGTTTCATGTTTATTGAATAAAAGAGATAATTATTTTTATTTTATTTTATTTTATTTTATTTTATTTTATTTTATTTTATTTTATTATTTTATTTTATTTTATTTTATTTTATTTTATTTTATTTTATTTTATTATTTTATTTTATTTTATTTTATTTTATTTTATTTTATTTTATTTATTTTATTTTATTTTATTATTTTATTATTTTATTTTATTTATTTTATTTTATTTTATTTTATTTTATTTATTTTATTTTATTATTTTATTTTATTATTTTATTTTATTTTATTTTATTTTATTTATTTTATTATTTTATTTTATTTTATTTTATTTTATTTATTTTATTTTATTTATTTTATTATTTTATTTTATTTTATTTTATTTTATTTTATTTTATTTTATTTTATTTTATTAGTTTATTTTATTTTATTTTATTTTATTAGTTTAGTTTAGTTTAGTTTAGTTTAGTATTGTTATTTTGAGAGCATCAGGCTGACTCCACCTGGGCTCCTGAGAAGAACAAGAATAGAATAGAATAGAATAATTTTATTTCTATACCGCCCTTCTCCCGAAGGACTCAGGGCGGTGTACAGCCTATTAAAAACACAAGACAACATCAGTTAAAATAGTTTAAAACTATTAAATGAATTCGGCTCAATTTAAAACCCCGGGAATTTAAAACCCAATTTAAAATTGTTATGTTGATAGCCCTGTCTGGCGGAACAACAGGGTCTTGAGTGCACAACGAAATACCCGGAGATATTTCGGAAGGAAGGACTGAAGATACAGGTAGTTTATTTAGTGACTGTTACACCAGCATTTTGGGGGGGGAAAGTGACATATGACCATTTTTCACTCTTACGACCGTTGCAGCATCTCCCCGTGGTCATCTTTTCTATCCAAAAGGTGTTTGCAGTTCTCTGGAGCTTTGTCTCATTCTGACTTCCCCATCCTTAAACCTTCAACGCTTGGTGTTGGGATTACTAGCCTGTCCTTTCTCCCCCCCACGCCTAATACATTCATTCCGCTAATGCATTTGAATTTGTCAGGAGGCCCCAAATTAAATTTGGAAACATTCTTTTCCCAGGCAAAGGAACATTCCGACTGACTTGCAGTATAAAAGCAAAGACTCCCTTGAGCTGGATTTGATATACACACCACCTCGTGTTGTTTTCTTGGCAATAACAGCACAGAACTGCTTTTCAGATTATTTTATTTCGGAGTCCTCCCTGCCTAGTCCACCAACCCGAAATAGTTTGGCTGTGCCCCGTCTAACCAGCCTGATCCTGATTTTAGAAATCGGCCTTAGA